TGGATGGTGATTACGCCAGCAGTATTTATTTTTTCACTTTTTCAGATTTTCTACAAAGCTTAGTGTATTTTGATTTGATTTGAACAAACGATGGTAACACAGTTGACGTTTGAAAGATAGTGGATCTGCACGAACATTATTTTCAACAAAAATAATCATCTGTAAGCTGTAAACATCTTTTTTGACAATGGCATAAAAATTGGATTACATTAACATAGTTGTTACAGTTGTTACAGTTGTGGGAGTTGCTACAGTTGTTACCGCTGTTGCAGGTGTTACAGTTGTTATAGTTTTTATAGTTGTAACAGTTGTTATAGTTTTATAGTTGTAACAGTTGTAACAGTTGTAACAGTTGTAACAGTTGTTACAGTTGTAACAGTTGTAACAGTTGTCACAGTTGTAACAGTTGTTACAGTTGTAACAGTTGTTACAGCTGTAACAGTTGTTTCAGTTGTAACAGTTGGTACGGTTGTTACGGTTGTTGCGGTTGTTGCAGTTGGTACAGTTGTTACAGTTGCTACATTTGTTACAGTTGTTACAGTCGTTACAGTCGTTACAGTCGTTACAGTCGTTACAGTCGTTACAGTCGTTACAATCGTTACAGTCGCTACAGTCGTTACAGTCGTTACAGTCGTTACAGTCGTTACAGTCGTTACAGTCGTTACAGTCGTTACAATCGTTACAGTCGTTACAGTCGTTACAGTCGTTACAGTCGTTACAGTCGTTACAGTCGTTACAGTCGTTACAGTTGTTACAGTTGTTACAGTTGTTACAGTTGTTACAGTTGTTACAGTTGTTACAGTGGTTACAGTTGTTACAGTTGTTACAGTTGTTACAGTTGTTACAGTTGTTACAGTTGTTACAGTTGTTACAGTTGTTACAGTTGTTACAGTTGTTACAGTTGTTACAGTTGTTGCAGTTGTTGCAGTTGTTACAGTTGTTGCAGTTGTTGCAGTTGTTACAGTTGTTACAGTTGTTGCAGTTGTTACAGTTGTTACAGTTGTTACAGTTGTTACAGTTGTTACAGTTGTTACAGTTGTTACAGTTGTTACAGTTGTTACAGCTGTTGCAGTGGTTACAGTTGTAAGATCTGTTACACTTGTTTCTATTGTTAGGATTGTTATTGCTGATACAGTTAACTGTTACGTATGTTACGATTATTACGATTGTTATGATTGCTGCAATTGTTACAATGTTACAATGTTGCAGTTTCATCGCTGACGACCGATGTCAACAATAACCTATAATGCTTTTGCGTCCTTGTCATAGTAGCAACTGACAAGATTTCATCAAAACCTGAGCGGTGCTCCCCGAGTTATAGAAGAGCGAACGATTGGCGAACAGATAGAACAGGTTTTCGTGATCTAACATCCAAGAATACGCTATTACTGTTCAAATGTTACACTTTTTACATTTGTTACGATTTTTTCGATTGCTACGATTGTTAAGATTGTCACATTTGTTGCGATTGTTACAATTGTCACAATTATTACGGTACGATTGTTTCAAGTGTTACAAATGTTACATTTGTTACAATCGTTACAAATTGTACAACTGTTACAGTTGCTACAAGTCTTACAACGTTACAATTGTTACAACCTTGCAATTTAATCGCTGTTAACAAAGTGGGGCATCGCTTCGCAGCCTCGACCGATTTGCAAAACCTATAATCCTTTTTGGCCCTTGGCATAGTAGTAACTAACAAAATTTTATCAAAATCCGAATGGTGCTCTCCGGGTTATGGAAGAGCCAATAATTGAAGGACAGACCGAGCAGTTTTTCGTGATCTAACGTCCTAAAATACGCTATTACAATTTCTCGCCAGTTGAAGTGGTAAGTAAGAATGAGGATCGGCAATATTTCAATTATCATTTTGTATAGCATAAAAAATACAGACTCAATCCACTTGACTCGATTTTCCAGGAATTTTACACACAATACGCATCAACACACCTTCAGAAGACCAATAACGATCAACCATAAAAAGTCGCCCATTATTTCATTGGTTATGGATCTGACATCCTCTTAGCCGCCGTACTAGGAAACCTCACAGCTCCGATATGGATTTATTAATCATTCTTTTCGCCATCTTCGCTCGGCCTACGTGATCCGGGAGCGCAAAACTGATATTGCCGCGCCTTTTGAATCTCTGATGCGGCGCTAAGTAGTCCACGGGAGAAATCAAGTGGGCAGGTGTCAACATTTTCTTATTTGGACGTTCGGACAATCGGTATGCTTTTGTTTCGAACGTAAACGGGGCGACAGCGGACTACCGCGATGATGATATGGCGAAAATGATATCCAGGAGAAACTCAGACGGAAGACCAGAAGAATTTGTGATGAATTAATGAAAACTGGTGGTTTACTGATTTTGAAGTAAAGGGTTGGAAAGTATTATATAATATTTACCAAATTGAAAAAACAGCATTCATTGTCAGGAAGATATTCGTATTGTCATTTGAGAGACTTTAATGGTTATTATTGAGGATGATTTTCAAAAATTCTTGCGTATCTGTGACCTCGAACAAAATTCCCCTAGAAAAAACAAATTCATGATATGACTCAGCTAACTCAACTCAGTGTAAGCAGGTAGTAACAATCAAACGTAGATCAGCTTCGGTGAACCATGGATTTATCACAATCTTCATGAAAATGTTGACATCGGATCGGCAATCAAATGTTTTCATTTCGTCTGATGGCAATTATTGCTTCATTGTACGATATTGCAAAAAAGTAGTCATTGCAGCATCCGGTAATACGAGTAAAACAGTAAGCAAAAAGTAAGCACAATTGCAATCGGAAAATTAATGTTTAGGCTGCATAAATAATCGGTCGATAACTTGTATCATTATTAGATGTTTACCTGTGATATTTTTCAGCAAAACATGGACTTGGATCTTTTCTAGCTGATTATAATATTTTAAAAATTAGACCCTACTTCCTAGTTGGGTTTCGAGAATAAAAACCCAAAAGTCCTAGACAAAAGAAACCTACAAAGTATTGGAAATTGCATACATATGAAAGTTTGATCAGACTCCCATTTCTCATTTGCAGAAAATTAGCAGATCGAACATCGAAATTATGGATATTTATGTATCTTTAATCTGCAACAAAAACGATGAAATGATTCTTCATATAGCTTTAATAACAATGTTTTTGCTGGTGTATAGAAAAAGTAATGGATAAATATTCAATATTTTATACAGGGTGACTTTGAAGTTGAGTCATTAATTTTCAGATAATGATTGTAGAAGGAAGATAAACCAAAATATGTGTGTAAAAATAAAAAAAAAATTAAAAAAAAAATTTACCTTGTTCTATAAAGTATCCTCCCGACAAGTATTTCAGTGCGGACCTGTATTTGATCGCGAGGTCTTGGAGCACCGGCATGCCGTCTTAAGTCACCTGATTCACGAGCCCGTTGTACCACATTAACAAAGGCACGAGGGGTTGGTTGCACTCGATTGGGAAACCGATCCGCATAAACATGTGCCATTTTTTATTTCGTTTGAGCCACGCAACAGACACTACTATTCACTGACGCGTTACCGACTATACTGAGTGTATACAACACAACTGAATGAAATAATTGTAAAAACATCGTTCCAAATTCTTTCGCTTTTTTGTTTCCGATGCGATGAACCGATGGCGGATTATATCCGTTGTCGCCAAACACGAGCACATAATATTATCATTGAGACAGGGCGGTACTCAAACCTCCAAAGGGCTATAACTTTGTTACTTTAATTTTACCAGAAAAATGGTAAAGGAAAAAACATTTCTTTTGATCAGATCTACTCACTGTTAAAATAAATGACTCAACTTCGAAGTCACCCTGTATGTAATACTTATCAATTATGAAGAAAGTTCAAAAACTTAAAATCGATTCACATGAGCACTACCTGCAGGCAACTAGTATTACAGATTGTATTGATCGCCAGCTAGCGGAAATCTTCTTCGTTCACAACATGCTTTCTAAAAGAATTCTTCTTTAAACTTCCCTTTAGTATGTTGAGCACGGTCTCTCACATACAGATGGCACGACAATGATAGCATGGAATTCATATACTCGATGTGTACTCGAAGTGTCCGGTAAACTTGTACAGTGTTGCCGAAATTTTCTGGATTTGTACAATTTATGAGCATGTTTTGATTGTACACCCTATTTCACGAGTATCCATCACGCTTTGATGACTACTGAGGTAAACAACTAATTAGCAAATGACATTTTTGTGTTAGTCTGCGACGTTGGCAATAATGAATCGGGTGTAAATTTAGTAAGACTTGTTTCTAGCGTTTTGTTTTCTGTATGCAAATGAATTTTTCCAAATAAAAGAGCTATTGGCAAATACAAAATGAATCTGTAGCGTTCAAAAAAAAACAAAATACTGCTTCTAACTGAATTATGTGTCCTGTGCCGATATGGGAAATTTTGAAGTATTACTAAATAACCAGCTGTCATTCTACCATGATGGATACTCATGAAATATATCTCCCAGCCATCGTAGAAATTTTATAAATTGTTTTTTACTTGTTATTAGTACACTCATAATGAAAGTTTTGTCATGTCAAGTCTGACATTTTTGATCTGACCTAACGTCCTATAATTATTATTATTAGTCTTTGGGTCAAAAATTCACATTATCACGAGTTTCCAGATTTGCAATTTCGTGTATAAAGAATAGGATTTGGTACTATGTTTTCTGGAAAATTTACGATCTGGATACCTTGATACTAATCTGGCATGAGATATCAAAATTTCTTACAGTCAGGTGCATTTTTAGATTCCATTGAGTCGCTGTTCTTGTATCAGATCATCAGGTACAATATGTTAATCAATGGAAGGATATGAAATGTGGCATACTTACAGCCCACATGCGCTGCACGTTAAAAATAAAAATCGGTTAAACTAAGGAAAATGGGACAATTTGGCAACGCTGCTTTTCTACTGCGAGTTCACTTCGAGTTAAAGAAAGCCGGTCTTTGCTGTCAATGAATTTTTCCAGTCAATTATGTTTTGTAAACGTCAAAATACGTGGCCTCCCTAAGATTTTCATGTTTTTTTCGCTAAAAAAATACTGAAAACATTTATCATTCCTAGTTTTTGAGCTAGTAAGACACATAATTCACTATGGGTTTGTGCAAATGCCCAAAACGTCGAGTAACAAACCAGTTTTGCTTCGAACACCGAGTATGCGTTTGTGAGAACTGTATGGTCACAAATCACCCAATTGTATGTTTATTTGTTGTTTAAATGCTTACCAATAACATTTATCTCGTTTCAGTGCGTAGTGCAGTCTTACCTACAATGGTTACAAGACAGCGATTACAATTCCATATGTGAACTGTGCAGTAATGATCTCAATGTTGAGGATAGCATAAGGCTCACATGTTACCGTAAGTAGTCTAAGTAGGTCCAGTACCATCTATCATAAGGATATGTTGAAGATGGGTGCATAGGGTCACTTATGATATTCTTTGTTCAGTTAATTAGAAAAATCAAATGGTTTTAGAATTGATATCTTAACTCTCAAGCACAGTTGGGATTTCTGCCAATTGGAAATTGTGTAATTGAAGATTCCAATGCAAGAACAAGTACAATTTCTAGTTTAAATAAGTGTTAAATCTCACACTGTTTTATTCAAAGTATGTATAAGCAATTTTTGTTTCAACCTTAAAAAAGTATATGAAGATGTAACTTACGGCAATTGAATGATTTTGACAGGCCAATGTTCTTATTAGAAATTGTGTAAGAGGCTGGTTTGTTTACACAGGCATTCCTAATGTTTCATTCTGTTGGTTATTTGGGCAACCAGGAACGTTAAAATTTTTAAGACTACTTTATTGTTATTTTTAGATGTGTTCCATTGGTCATGCTTAGACCATTATGCCAGGCAGCTTCCATCAACTACAGCTCCAAGAGGGTACACTTGCCCTTCATGCAAAAGTCCTCTTTTTCCAGCTTCAAATTTAATAAGTCCTGTAGCAGATGTTTTGAAGGAAAAACTAGCTGGTGTCAATTGGGCCAGGGCTGGATTAGGTTTACCATTGGTAAGAAAATTATATATTAACTCAGGAAGACTGTTTTTAAGGTAAAAGAATGTATCTCACTCCTAGCCAAAGAAAAACTTGAGTGGCCCATACCAAAGTGAGGCAGAAGCTTGAAGTTGTATCAAACCTGTATTTTAAGCATTTTTATTTTGAAAGGATGATATTGTTTTTCATAAAGAGGGTATTGTTTTCACTGTTTTTAAGAAAAACAAGTAGCAAAACTTGCTTTCCAAAATTTAAGCTTAAAAAATTTGCTAATTGCGGAGGCTGGGTTTCCTGGTAGATTTTAATAAAAAAGTTCAAATTCAAAATGCCTATTTCACAGATGACAGCTTATACACAAGTGAAAAATTGTGTTTCAGCCATTAAAAATGCATTTTTCTGAGAGTCAGGAATACCTCATTGTATCTATGGGGTTGTCCAAAACGGCCGCAGGAAAGTAAACGAATATTAAAACAAGAAAAATTGATATTCAAATCAAGTTGGGTACTTTATTTTGAACGATCATTTATACCATTTATGTATGAAAAATAATATCACTCAAATGTTCACCACGACTGGATTTACAGACGTCCACGCGATGGTCGAAATTTTCAATGACATTTTGCAACATGGTCGGTTCTATGGCATTTATCTCGGCAATGATGTTGTTTTTGAGTTCTTGGAGGGTGGCTGGTTTGTTGATGTAGACTTTGCTTTTCAAATATCCCCATAAAAAGAACTCCAAGGGAGTCAAATCGCACGATCTTGGTGGCCATGGCACATTTCCTCTGCGCGAAATCACGCGATCACCGAAGAAGGGCTGCAATCGATGGATATTGACGTTGGTTGTGTGGCATGTTGCACCATCTTGTTGGAAATAAACATCGTCCATATCCATTCCTTCAAGTTGCGGCAAAGAATAGTCCTCTATCATCACGTGATATCGCTCAGAATTGACGGTAACGGCGTCCCCGGTAGCATTTTCGAAAAAGTAAGGTCCGATGATGCCTTTTGACCACAATGCACACCACACAGTCACTTTTTGAGGATGCATCGGCTGCTCTTGATACTCACGGGGATTTTCGTTCGCCCAGATGCGGCAGTTTTGCTTATTTACCGTCCCATTCAAAGTGAAATGCGCTTCGTCGCTGAACATGTTTTTTGATGAAAAATTGGCATCAAATTGGCGGTGTTCAAGGACCCAATCTGAGAACGTTCGGCGCGAAAAATGGTCGGCCCGACGCAGCTCTTGCGTCAATTGGATCTTGTAGGCGTGTACATTCAAATCCTTGTGGAGAATGCGGAGCAAACTGGTTCTCGAAATGCCCAATTCTTGGGATCGACGCGTTGTTGATTGTTTCGGATCGTCTCTCACATTCTCCTTCACAACAGCAATATTTTCCGGTGTGCGAACGCTCCTTGGCCGGCCAGAGCCCGGCAGATTTGCCACAGAACCTGTTGCCTCGAATTTACGCACCAGACGACCGATGGTTGTTTCGTTTGGGCGGTTGTTGCGACCGAAATGTTCACGAAGCGCGCGAAACGTGTTTTTTATTTTTGCACCATTTTTGTAGTGCTCTTGAATAACTTTAATGCGGTCTTCAATCGAATACGACTCCATAGCGATCAATGGTAAACATTCAACTAACAAAATGACATGTCGGTGACAGAAAACAAAGATGGCGTCTATGTCAAATTGACGTTTACTTTCCTGCGTCCCTATTGGACAACCCTATATCTAAATTGCATCACTATGGATTTAAAGGATCTGCAGTCAAGTTTTTACAAGACTTCCTAATTGGCAGTCAAAAAACCAAAATTTACTATATTTTATACAATAATGACATTTGTGTATGTGTGATATTTTAGATTATTGTAAAATACAGATACTTGCAGATGGGACAATAATATACATACCACATGAGATGCTTTAGACATACTAAGTTCTGTCTTGGTAAAAAACATAAATTGGTTAAATGTAAATCAACTAAAATTGAATGCTTGTAAAACAATATGTGCGCTAATAGGTAAATACTGAAATGAAAATACTATCACAGTTGGGATAAAGGGTGAATTAATTGAAAAGGTTGAATCAATTAACTATTAGGGTATATACTGGGTGCACCATCTATTACTTTTTTTTACCTATAAGTTTATGCGTTACCATGTGAGTCAAAAGTCATGTCATTAATGAACTGTCAAAGGTATGCCATTTATAGTCATGGATTCGTTTACAACACAACAACGCATTTTGGTTATAAAAATTTATTACGAAAACGGTCGAAATATGAAAAATACTTTTTGCAAACTTCGCACTAGTTTTGTTCGACATGGACGCCCTACAGAGCCTGGAATTCGTTGGATTGTTGATCGTTTTGAGGATACTTGTTCAGCTGAAGGTCGTAGACCATACCAACATGCTCGTCCAGCTCGTACTCGTAAAACATAGCTGCAGTGAGTGAAAGTGTGCGAGAAGATCCAATCAACCTCGACTAGGCACCGTTCGCAATAATTGGGAATTAGTGAGACCACTTTACGCCGGATTTTACACATTGATTTACACCTCCATCCATACAAAATCCAACTAACACAAGAATTGAAGCCTGGAAAGAGAAGACGGATTTTCGGCCAAAGTGCTCTTTTCTGATGAGGCTCATTTTCACCTCAATAGGTACGTAAATAAGCAAAATTTCAGATTCTCGGCGGCTGAAAATCCACATCAATATCATGAACAACCTCTCCATCCTGAAAAAGTTACTGTTTGGTGCGGATTATGGGCTGGTGGCATCCTTGGACCATTCTTCTTTGAAGATGCCGAAGAAAAGGTCATTGCCGTCAACAGGGAACGTTATCGCGGCATGTTAACAGACTTTTTGTAGCCATAATTGGATCGTTTTGTGCCGACGATCTTTGGTTTCATCAAGACGGAGCAACGGCTCACACATCTCGCCAAACAATCGCCTTATTGCACACGAAATTTCAAGACCGCATAATTTCACGAAATTCAGATGTCAGTTGGCCCCCGAGATCGTGCGATTTAACACCTCTTGACTATTTTCTTTGGGGATTTTTGAAAGGAAAAGTGTATGCTAATGGTCCCCGGACAATTCAATACCTATATTCGGACTGAAATTGCGGCCATAGACCCGATTATTCTGGGAAAGTCATTGAAAATTTTGATGTTTGGATGTTGGCCTGTAAACGAAGCCGCGGTGGTCACATGACTGATGTTATTTTTCATACATAAATGGCATAAACCAACCTTCATTTATCAATAAAAAAAAATCGATTTCACCTCGTAAAAATCGTGTTGATTTTTCAAATAGAAAAAAGTAATAGATGACGCACCCTGTATAAATATATTCATAGTAAACTAAAGTTTGTGGATCACTATGAATTCCCAAAAAAAAAAAAATTACAATTATTCTACCACATTGTTCAGATACTGTCAATGAAGCTGTATTCTCAAAATTACAAGTCCTACAAAATAAAATCTATGTTACAAGAAGTGGTTGAATATAAAAAATTTCATATGATATTTGGTTCTCATTTTCGTATTTAAAATAAAAAATCGTCTTTAGCGACAAGATTTAGTACATTTCATGGAATTGAATAATCATTACCACAATTATTACACAGGAGGAAATATAGATCTCCACTTACAAAATTGCTAACTATCAAATCAATATTTCAGAAGGGATTACTTGAATTTAATAAACTAAACTAAATAAAGTCTACTTGTAATTTAAAGATGTTTAAAGAAAAATTGAAGGTACAATTTGTGGACAGAGAAAATTCGTAGAGATGCAAGTTTAGTTTTTCTGAATATTTGTATGCTATGTAAGGCCCGTATCGCCAGTCGTCCCTACAATTGTAGGGCGCCTTTATGGCCTCCTTGATTGTCATAGTTTTCTACTTCTCCGTGTGAGCGCTCTAATTTGAGGTTATGTCACAAACATCTATTTGCATCAAATTGTGCTTGCTTTTGAGTTATATCATGTTTTGTCAGCCTGAAATTTCCTACAATTTAAAAAGAAAACATATCTTCACAATAGGAGAGCGGTGACGCTGACACGGGACAAGTGTAATCTAGAAATTTTTGGAGTATGACAATCAAGGAGGCCATAAACGCGCCCTACAATTGTAGGGACGACTGACGATACGGGCCTTAATGTTTGTTTTTAAAAAGAAACAAAATATGTCAGTCATTTTTGAGAGATTTTGGTTTGACACTGGACATTTGATCCTGCCATTTTCTTATTGCAATTTATGTATTTTCATTTCAGTTGTCTGAAGAAAGAGAAGTCAAATCCACGTCAGCCCCAGTGGTAACCAACAATCACAATGTTGCACCGCCGAGAGTGACTCCGAGCCCGTCACATTCCGTTATAAACGTCAACGAAGACCAAGGGGCTTTCCACAGGATAGAAAACAGTTATCAGAACTCCACACGCCGGGTGTTCCAGGATATCAGAGATGCGAAGTCTGTGGGATTCGATCACGATGAGGACAAGTATAAGAGGAAGTCTGTGTTTGAGCTTGTCAGCAATTGGTGGAGGTGAGATATTGATATATCCTGCTCATTCAATCAACGGTATCAGTACAAGTACAGTCTTCGTCTTTTGCAAAAGATTCCTATCTTTTGTCTATATTAAATTTATTTTCAGGATAACGTACAGGCCCTCAGTTAGATCAAGAGGAACTAGATCAACGTTTAGAAGATACTGCATGTTAGGACTTTTTATAATAATTGCTTTCACATTGATAATGTATGTGATGTCTAGATTAGGAAGGCATTATATTCAAAACGATCCTAGTCTAGATATAGTCAATAATGAATTTGTTAATGTGCGTGATAAGTAATTTTAAGTCTAAGAAGCTTTTTATCAATTAATATACATAGGGTTTATTTCATTTTGTTACATACGTACTGTACAGATTTGTATAATAATGTAATATAATTAATAAATGGCTCTTTATAATCGAACAATGTGGTATTATTTCAATTTTTTTAACAGCTGACTACAAGATGTGGCAAAAATGAGTACGAACTAACGTAATATCTGAAGTGTATTTTTTAAAAAAAATATGTTTCTCTACATGGTGATATTATGATCTTGCAGATGAAGGGTTTTTATTTTTGAAGCGACAACCATGCGTTGAATTGAAAAAATCAAGCAATTAAATTTGTTTAGAAACGATCGAGGATTTCAAGAATAATTTTTATTTGAAATCAGTGGCGTACCATCAATGTGGTACATTAAAAAATGCCTCTTGATGCATATAACCCAAATATCATTAAAATATTACAGATATTAATAATAAACGATTTATTTTTTACTTCATTTACATCAATGTATTTGTATCTTAAAGATTAAAACATAGCAGGCTAATACGAAGTTTCCTTCCCAAAAAGGATAAAAAAATCGCGCTCCTAAATACTGATATTCAGGTAGGAAACACCTTGTATATTAAGGCATACTTCTTCACCAAGGTAGATCCCCCTGTATAAATGGGTTGAAAAGTGGCATTGGTTGTCAGTACCAATTTGGACGTATCAGCCTTTTGAAAAAAATCATCAGTTTTCAACGGGATTTGTAATAGCAAAATCACGCTAAAATGACTTAAACTCCGGTACAATGAAGTGCTGTAAGAAAAAGAACAATACAGACAAAACATACAGGCAAGTACTTAAAAATATAACTGAAGAGTATATATTTAAGCTTAAAGAAAGTCCTTTTGAACAGCATCGATACAAATATTTTTTCTAGCAGATATGAGAATATACTTTCTGGGATAATTTGGGACAACCTTAACATTTTTTTCAAATTTACTTTTGTTTGAACATATATTCATGTTGGGGATATTCATCATTAGATTAGATAAGTGATGGTTTTAACATAAACACATGGAAATCTGTGTGTAATAGATATATGGAACGTAGCACTAATGTTTGTGCCTAAAAAATTACTATCTATCGAGATTTTCTTGTGTAGGTACAAAGAGCAAGACCTCCCAGAGATCTTCCGCACATGCCGCCCCCCACCGCCACCCCCCGGCGAAGAACTGTGGGAGTTGCAGTTCTGCCGATGGTGGGGATGGAACTGGGTGAAGAAGAAGGACGAACTGGGCGTGGCTGCCGCTATGAGGGCGGGGCCAAGAGTATCGATAGAGGAGGAGCCACAGCCCGGCATGCGGCAGAGCGAGGAGCACGGTGGGAATATGAGGAAGCGGTGCTCGCCCACGATGTGTAATAACGAAAGACAGATGATGATTACGAATAGGTACGAGAGGAGTCAAAAAATTGTCATCACCTATTATCACTGTAAAGCTTCGATGGTCTACAGACTTTACTTAATATACTTAAAGGTCGCCATATGAGAGGAAGGTGCAAAAGAAGCACATTAAACAGCTCTGCAATTGTTTATGCTTTAAGAAGAAACCTCAAGGAACGCCAAGTATCCAAAACATGTACTCGACTCCATCGAACAGCGTGATCCTACATGAAACATACACTTGTGGCGTGATACATAACCAGGATTCTGTCGCACGTTTGGAGGTAAATTGTAATTCATTTACCTGCTGCAGTATATAAGATACTGTTAAGATATTCTTCCAACATATACAGGGTGTCCCATTTCACGCAGCTTAACAGTTTTTAGCTCCTAGGTGAGATATTTTGAGCCTTAATAACGTATGTAATTTATAGGCTGAAAGAAATATATCTAGGAAGGGTAGAAGAGAATCGTGTAGATGTAGATCTGCAGTAGCTCATCCATGGTTCAATAAGGTTAAAGAAGAGTCTGAAAGCAGCCATGAAGGTTATGTCGGAGGCTGTCAATGCTGCTGTGCAAAAGCCAATAAGTGAGTTGATAAAAGGCATAAAATGCTTCGTCTTCACGGTGGTTCAAGTTTATTATTAATTTATTAAGCAATACATTAACATGTCCGTTATTTTTAAAGAATATAGTAACCGAGCTGGCACTTTTTTCAATCAGACTAGCCAAAAACTCCAAGAAACACCAATATGGTTTTGAAAAACGATACAAATCGTTCGCTAAGCATAAAGTTTAGACATACCGTAAAATTCCCGAACACATGTTTATGTGAACTATGATTACGTACAACATTTTTCGTCTATCTACTTACTGTACATGATTCTCGACATTTTTCTTTAACCCAAAATGAACATTTTCCTTCCAGATCTTCCACTGAGGAAAGCATCGAAATACTAAACGTACGTATAAAACACATCATATCTGCCACTGACTGTCCATGTCACAAGCACTGATGTTTCAGATACAGTGTCAGTGCTGCTGTAAGTCCCAATCAAAATCGCCTCCGAAACCGCGGATAAACAATGGCCAAACTCAGACATGTCCTGGTCAAAAGGCAGAAATGGTCCAGACAGCTATCTGGTAAGTAGATACCTTCAGTCTGACTAGTGAGTCTGTATCCGAATATATTAATAAAATTCGCCTTACCAGCGGTTGCGTAGGCGCCACCCAAACCCAAAACATGAAGCAAATAAAATCAACGAAGAAAAAGAAAATCGTCGTGTGCTGCCACTGCTGCTGTCATTGCATCAGGGATGACGCTGGAGGAGAAGACGACAAAGTTCAAGTGAATCGTAGTAACTGGGACAACGTCAAGGCTGGAGATGATAGACCGTGCTTCTGCATACAAGCTGCTAACAACCAGAACGCCCCATCTAAACGGTTACCCTCTAAAGAGCAATATACGAGCTGTGACTATAACGGTGTGTAACTAGAGAGCAACTTGTAAGATCGTCGAGTCTTTACTGTCACACGAATGGTGTTTTCAGTGATCCAACAGTATTCATCATGGAATGTGATATTTATTGACCGATTAGCCTGGACGTTAGTAATTATTGATGATAAGGTTACGTAGAAATCCACTGACACACATTATAGATTAACAATATTAATGCATTACATATTTTTGCAATCAGAATTATAGACTCTTCAACTTTGCAAAAATGCAATACGGATCCTTAAGAAAAAAAACGTTGATGCTTGAGGGTAAAAGACGCAACGTCATACTGAAATTCTTAAACTGCTTAAAATAGAATTTTGCTCAATTAGGCTGTTTCAATTTTTCATATGCCTCGGACTATTCTACATGGCAAAAATAAAACATGACCTCTTCTCTATTTAAAAACTAACTATTAGGTATCACATGCAATACTGGAGAGAAAGCAGCCGAGAACGAGTATGGCGTATACCAAGGTACTACCAGACAAGAAAAGATGAATCCAGCACACTTGAAGCAATTCAAGCCATGGGACGCGTCTCTTTATCAGCAAAAACAATTCCCGAAGTACGGCGCCCCGTCGAAGAAGTACCCTTGGGTGCAACGTACCAGCTCGGACATCTTGGATAAGTATTACAAGTTGAAGATCAGCGAGGAATTTTCTAGTCCAGTCACAGGTAAAATGCCTGAAGTTTTAATTGGTTGTTTGAAGTTTGCAGTTCGCGGTTTGATACGTAAACACCGGAGTATAGTTTCTGACGTGCTGAACCCGAATCCGTGATCCAAATAACTCATTTGGCGTTTGTTTCCGAGATATCCTAACCTAAAAGTGCAAAAATAGCAATTTTTGCCCATATTTAAGGTTATGTAGCATGATTGATTGTTTTAGCCATAGTAAAAGCTTTTTCAAATGTCGTTGGGTTTGCTTTGATATTATTTCATTTCGCTTTGAAATGTCCATTTTTCTGATCTAGATCCGCAGGGGTATTACGTATCTTGAAAAGTGACATTATGTCGTTTTTTTGACATTATATTGTTTTTTTGTGACAAGTGACATTATCTAGGTTTTTCTACAAGATGTTAAATTAGCACTAGCTAATGTAGTTTTACGTGTTGCCTAAATGTCATGATGCTTCAGTTATCAATGTTTGGATCTGATGGGATGTAAGATCATTTTTTATTTCCAGTTATTCAAATTTTATAGAAATTTATTTTGCAATGTCAATAGAAAATACAAATCAGCGCCTAGATGTGGGGCACTGCGAAAATGTTTGATGTGTGATGCGTCATTCCTAATTTTTCTGCACACAACGCGGTGAAAATTTTTAAAAACACAAAAACCGGAAAAATCGTAGTGTATAAATTTGAACATAACCTGTATTCAGAAAGGACAACATATAATAACCCGTCTGGCACACTTAATATTACTGATTTTATACACATGCAGACCACTACACATAATCATCCAGGTGCGATCTTGCTACTCAACCAACTTTCTTTCTTTCTTATCTTCTTGAAGAGATAAACACTACAGACTACTCGGTTTCGCAAATCATATACACTCGGCTTTCTGCAACCAACAATGCATGCTTGAGCTGGGTACTTATAGTACAGGAGTTATCTTCGCATTTGCTTAGAAAAATATTTTGTCAATACTTTGTTTTTTCGATGGACTGGTAACTCAGTGTTCTTTGGTTGTGTTTTGGGTAAGTTTTAATCCGATGGATTTAGCATCGAAGAATTATGATCTTTTTAGTTAGGCTTCAAAGTAGCGACGAAGTAAGATTATCCGACATTAACCATTTAACTTCCATTATAGGCAAGACCTACAACCTCTCGCCCATTGAACCCCTTAGCCTAGATGGGGAAAGCATAAGATGCTCACTCCCCGAACCAATTGAGGTATCAGAGGACATCGAATATTTGGAAAAACTAGAAAGCAACGCAAAACACAACGACATTCCATCGCGGATCATGTTAAACGCTATGTGTGACGCCATTTTGTACAACAACATCGATGCCGAATGTCCCAGCATGCTTTTGAGCGAGTTCACTTACCTGGACAAGGCGGCTGGGGGATGCTCGGAAAACAATTGTTTCTCGTCGAAGTCGGTGGATTTACCCAGCGATAATTTGACCAATGGTACTAAGACTCAAGCTGCGGATGAGACTGTTATTAAGCAACAGGTTGAAGATACCGTAAAGAAACTGATGCAGGAGAAAGAAGAGAGGCTGAGCGGTGCTGATAACACGTTTAAGGTAAACTTTAGTTCCATTTGTTTAAGGTAAACTTTAGTTCCATTTCTTTTTCATATTGAGTGCCAAATCCAATTGAAAGCAATGACTGCTCAAAGGTAAGCAATCGGTAAGTGCAGGAGGATTTTTACGTTTTCCACATAAGAGCGCATATGTTGGTGTAAAGTCGGTGTTTTCGATGCACATTCAAATCTTGCTATTCAAGCTACGCATTCAGCAAATAATTTCTTTCCAAAGCAGCACATGGACCGTCTGGGACTTCAAAAAGAATTCCAGCAAGAAGACGGAAAAGACCACCACACCACACCAGGCTGTACCAATAACTTTGGGTCGAAGCAACATTGCTGTTTCCGTGAAGACGAGGAACATACAATCACACCAAGAGTCCACCCTTCGTTCACAAAAACAGGTCTTCTACCATCTGTCTGTCCGTACAAGAGATCTGCTTCCCCAGCAAGAACTGGCCAAGGGAAGAAATCCAGAACTGGTCAAGTGAAGAAGTCCAGACCGTGTTTTAATGGTGAAGATAGCATGGTCCAGAATGTGAACGCTCTGCTGGATAAGATCGACGAGATTGCCGTCAGAAGTCAAGAGAATGACCTAAAGGTTCAAAGTGTGCTGAATTCTATTGGGAATCCGGATCAGTATCACTTGGAGCAAACGAGTGAGCTTCGCAGTGAAGCTAGCATTTCAGGTAATTCTTAGGTCACCTTTTAGCACTGATTTACATGGAAATGCCGCATGTGTTGAACAGGATGAGGTTGAGGAAAATAGTCTATTCAGTGATTACTTCTAAAGAAATTACTCTGGTTATGCTTGAGAACGTGGCTGTGACTAAGGCCCGTATCGTCAGTCGTCCCTACAATTGTAGGGCGCCTTTATGGCCTCCTTGATTGTCATAGTTTTCTACTTCTCCGTGTCAGCGCTCTATTTTGAGGTTATGTCACAAACATCTATTTGCATCAAATTGTGCTTGCTTTTGAGTTATATCATGTTTTATCAGCCTGAAATTTCCTACAATTTAAAAGAAAACATATCTTCACAATAGGAGAGCGCTGACGCTGACACGGGACAAGTGTAATCTAGAAATTTTTGAAGGAGAGAAAGGAGTATGACAATCAAGGAGGCCATAAACGCCCCTACAATTGTAGGGACGACTGACGATTCGGGCCTAAGGAAAGATTATTATAATCTAATTGTGGGTTTTGATTATTAGTTTGTGCCCCATCCTTTCAATCAGCATAGGTTGAGCATCTTCTTAGCTACAGTAGCGCTATTTCATTCCAGCAGAAATAAGCTCGAGCGACATCTTCCGCAAAATCGACGAAATAGTCCAGCGAAGTCAACTGAACAACAACAAAATCCAAACCGTCCTGAACACCATACCGAAAATGTCAACTACCAATCCGAGGGAGTTTGTCGTTAATCAAGCCCCTCCTTGCATTTCCAGTGATGATTGTGGCGTTATGATGACAGAAAAATTGAGTTCCATCTCCGAAGTGACGAATGAAACTGCCGAGACGAAAGTTGAGCCGATCTCAAGCGCGAAACTGGACGTTTCGAACAGGGACGGGAACACCAAGAAAAAGAAGAAACGAGGGTCACTCAAGTCGTTAATTCCTATTAAGCAGAAACCTAAAAATAAGTAACGTGTACTCGAGTGGAATAAAGGTCCTTTGTGATGATAGATATTTAAGTTTATGGACTTCTTCTAAACTTTTCAAAAATAAGTTATGTTTTTCTGACCAGGTCTGTAAATTAAGTGATGAAACCGGCAACGTAGCGTTCGATGTGGCAACACTGGAGGTGCCAGGCTTGGAGGGGGGAGCGGGGCACATGTGATCCGCCTTCAGTACAAGTTTGAATCCGCTTGAGTCATTTGATTGTCGGTAGCGATTATTTTGGTGAAACAGTTTTTTCTATCGAGTTCTAAAAATTAATGGGACTTGAGTACCTGCTAAACTTAAGCAGGTATACGGAGATAGTTTTGTCAAGAGCCTAGATTTTCGGCGGTTTACGGCCCCCCGAACCGATGAAAATATCAATAAAAACCCGGGATCTTATGCGTTTTTGTCGAAAATTGCATTACAATTAACCGTCGTGTTTCGACAACAGTTCTGGGTAGGTTTGCGCATTTTTTGGAGGGCTTTTGGCGTTTTCGGAACGATAGACGAGTGAGGCGTATCTGGTACATTAAAGAATCGAGAGATAACCTCATACTCGCTTGTCTTTTGGGGGACTAAACGTCCATTTGGGAGCGGGATAAGTTTCAGATGTTACATTAATTTCAACATACATGTGGTTTCATTTGGCCAGAGAAAACCGCTACATAAGTTCCAGTTGGTTACATCAATTCAACATACGACAAAAACAAAATTTACGAAACGCCACAAATCCTACCTTCGGTCGTTTATACTCCAAAGGATCCAGTGTCAGCTATTGTAAGAAATCTGTTACTAAGTAAAACACCTTATTATGACAATATTTCGTGTATTTTCAAATTATATCAAAACTACAAAAACAATTTACAACATTCTTTTTTCCAGGAACATCTGCCTGTATGTCTATAAGGTACAAAATTTATAGCTATATTTATTTTACAATTAACAATATAAACTAAGATCTATATTCTTATAAAACATGAACAACTGAATCAGATTTTACAGTTTACTTACAAAAATATGTACTGGTGTAACTACAATAACCACGTTGCCAGGTATACACCAGCGGAATCTTGTGAGCAACATATAGATTATCAATTTCAAAAATAACAAAAGCCCATATAAAAATTAAACGAAGTTCTTTAAATGTCTCGTTACCAGGATACAGCATGTTGTAAATTTCTACGCTACTGACGAAACTACAGTATATAGACAAACATGAATATTTACTTAAATACTTTTAGAAAACGAATTCATACTTCATTGCTCCATAAATAAATGCGTTATTAGTAGAAAAACTAAATTCCTTGTTTTACAATATCTGCAAGTCTGAATATAAGCACTTTTTTATGAGGGACAAAAATATGTAGACAAATTCTTTTCAAATTCAGCCTGTTTTCAAAAGAGAATAGGTTGAAGTTTTTTATACGGACAATTAAAATATTCAAACCAATTTTTCTCCAGAAGGAACAAAAATTTCGGGAAGGCGAATTGTATATATTGGCTATGCTGTTAGTTCTTCATGAAGAAAATTTTAAGTCAATTCCTTACATTCTGATTTTCCGATTTCAAAATTGAAAGTCAACACCCTGTATCTCAGTAACTATAAGAACTAAAAATTATCTTTTAATCTACCTTATGCCCTGTAAATACTGCCAAAGTTTTCCTGAATCAACCTATATACTGAACTGATTTTCGAATCTCAAGAATCAATGTCATACCTAAGAGCTTTGGGATGCACCTGCATATGCCTTCGGAAACTGCTCCTAATCGTAGTTTTGTAATCGCAGTTTCTACAAGAGTGCACTCTAGTCGAGACCGATGCAACGTACTCGGTGTGCTGTTTGATTATGTGGTTGTCTAGAGACGCTTTCTTTTTAAATACCGATCTGCATTTCGTACAAACGTACTCGTTGGACAAATGGTGTCTTTTATGAACGATGGATTTCGATGGAGATTCGACCGCGCTGGTTTTCATTCTGCACTTGTTACGGTTGACGTGGCTTATCAAGCCCGCCTTACAACTAGAACTAAAGTCACAGATATAGCAAATGTATCTCTCCTCTTTGCCGGTGTCCTTCTGCGGCGCGTTCTTTTGCGCGGCACTGAAAAAAATTAAAATACGCTCAGTTGCAAAGAAAATAGAATAATCATAACTGGTATTTGCATTCTGGGGCGAAGTTTAGCCGTCGGCCCTTTCAAGAACAAAAAAAAATTACAAATCTCACATATATAATTTCACCATTTGATCTTCCAAGCGTACTGTTAGAGTTTTTAGTTACAATAGTTTCAATGTTTTAGCGGAATAGTTAAGAGGGGATTCAAGCGATGAATTTCAGAATAACGCTGTTTTTTATTCTTGTGACTCTAAAACAGGATGCGCGGAATTATGTTTACTAAAATCCTTACCTATGGTAGTTTTAAATTCGCATAACGAACATTCGTATATCTTCGACGTGACAGAATTGATAAAATCGGGATGTTTTTTTAATATATGATCATCGAGTAATTGTTTACCTTTAAACGCTACCGTACAATACTCACAGTTTGTATATTTTAAAAGTGCGCAAACTTTTTGCGCTATATGCTCGTACATTTTATATTTTGCTCTAGTTTTGAACGTACAATCTTGACATTTATATTCCTTTTCGACCGAGGAAGATACGAATGCATGACTCTGTAATACATGCGCATCTAGATTTTCTTTGCATTCTGATTTGTATTTACAGTACTTGCAACAAAAAACTTCAAGTCGTTCGTCATGCCATGAACTAAGGATTGATGACGCTCGAAATTGTACTTTCTAGTGGTTTTAAATTCGCAAAAACATCGGTATATTTCCGAATCAACCGTATCGATACCTTCGGGGTGTGCTTTAACTATATGGTTATTCACATCTCGTTTACTGCAAAAAAACTTGTTGCAGTGGTTACATGAATACGAGGATGCTTCAGAAATCCGAATATTAGTAACTTTTTTCTTGCGTGATTTTACATGAGTATGAAACACCTTATTATGAGCTGTCAAATTATGTTCATGTACAGTTTGGTAACTACAATTTGCACACTCGTATATTTCACGAGAAATTGACGAGATGAACTTGCGGTGTTTCTTTATTATATGTTCGTCTCGCGTATCGCTAAATGTCTGGCTGCAGTGCCTAACACCCGAATGTTTTAGTCGATCGTGCATCTTTAAAATATCATGTCTTGTAGCTACAAATTCACACTGTTCACATTTAGATACGGATTTGCTTGAGGAAGGTGCCCTTGCAAGCGCAACCTTTGCCTTGTTCAAAGTGGAATTAATGTTACAACTGCCGACACCGAAGTGTTCGACTAACTCATTTTTAGAGTGGGTTTCATAACGACAAAAGTAACAAATAAACATGTTTTTCAGGACTTCTGTCTGTGCCACTTCATGTTCCTTGTGCCAGTCTTTCTTTTCCATTTCGCTGAAAAAGAATTACTAAAATTACCCTCGATGTTCTACACGACTAAAAGGCGAAGAAGGGATCATTAAAGTATTTCGGACAGTTGGTTTTAAGTGAAAAAGTATTTGTTTGCAACATTTACGTTTCCACACCTGTTGATAAAATATCTATTTCCAATATATACTCAGTGACATTAGAAGTGTCACACCCAGAAAAAAGAATTTCTTCAACTTGTTTCTTTTTACAACATAATGACTACATTTACAGCATGCTGTGGCAACAATGTCAATGTTTTATCTTTGTTTTTGTTTACAGTTGCTAAAATTTTATCTCTTAGTTTTTGTGAAGACGGCAGTTTCTGTGAGCTGGGTAGTACAGATATTTTTAGCTAATGCTCTTTCAAACGTTAACTTTAACCTTATTATGACAAATCACATATATACTACAACTCCTAACTTGTTTGTCGGGGATTTACCGTTCTTATTCTTTGAGCGCACGCTTTCGATTAAATTTCGATACAGTTTTAGTGACTTCTATGCGGAAAAGACAGTGGGCGACACATTCATCGTAGACTCTAGATTGGAAAATGGCTAAAGAAAAAAGAAACATTTTGTTATTTTTAGACAGTGCAAGATCTCATCCAAAAGACATAAAATAAAAATCTTATTTTTTTCTCCATTTCACTAATAAGACTCACCTGTCGAGGTCTAATTCTGCAGACGGGGCAGTTGAATTGATTTTCATGTGGACATCTAGTTGTTGATTCAGCTCTGAATTGTCCTTATCTTCACACTGCACCTTGGCATCGTCTTCCACTTTAACTTCCTTACTTGCTACTTTATTGAAAGATGTTTTACCCCAGTTTTCTTTGGTCTGCTCCACTTGTTTCCTTAAATAAAATTGTATGTTAAAATCAAGCAGCAAGTATACATCATTCTTATTGCCACCAGGTCACAAAGAAAATGAAATGTTCCTAGATTTAGTACTCAACAGGATCAACTATTCTTTCAAGTGCATTTAAAGGCACCAGTTAGAGTAATGTGCTAACGATTTAAAAAATTGCAGGTTAAGAAATCTTAAATTTATCCTTAGTGAGTTATATGATCAATAATCAAATTCAAGCGGATAACCAAATGGAAATGGTATTTACCATTTTGGGTTGGTATTTACCAATCCGTTCAAGCGAGTGTAGTTATCAGTTTGGTTATAAGATCCGTGACGTCACGAATCAGCTGTTATATGTCATAGTTATCACCGCAAAATTGTCGTGTTTACCCAACTCAAGAGTAGTTTTATATTTCTGGTTATTATTTGAAATGTGACAAGTTAGAATTTTGCCGGGTATTGGATATTGTTATTGTAGTTCAGCTTCATTTTTGAGAAAAATGATACAGGCTGACTTCAGTTTTACCATAAAGTGGAGCACCTTATTAGTTATACTCATTACGGTTGTTGGGGACACTTTAAATTAACAAAGTATCCTGTGTAGCCATATACCACAAGAATATTAAAATATGGCCATATAAACTCACTAGATGATATCCACCTGTATACGGTTTTGCTAATTTCTTTTTTCATCATTTCTGCTAAATCAATAAATGTTTTCTTTGACATGAGGAAAAGTTTAGAGAATTGAAAGTTATCATAGCTACAAAACCATGGTTCCATCATTAAAAAAAAAATCTGAAAAAAACATGCCTCCCATGAATATTATGAAAGGTTTCTTATTTAAACTTTCCATATACATTTGTAGACGAAAAAGCACCGATTATTAAGTGATAATAAAAATAATCAGAGATTATATACGCGCTTTTCTAAAATAAACAACTTGCAACAAAACCGCGGTTAAAACCAACGCGTTCAAGCGATTCGTGTAACTGACGTCATCAACCCGTGTGTCATCTTGAACCATATTATAACCGCGGCACAATTTTGGTTATTCGCTTGGATTTGATTAATCAATTATGTATGGTGACATTGTCTTGTAATCATTCATGATAATCTTAAACAGCAACTTAGTGCTGTATTGTGAGTCATTCCCACAATTCAAAAACATAACCTCACAAAAGGAGAGAGCTGATGCTGACATGAAACAGTAGAAACCTAGAAATACCCTAGCCTTTCTGAAGGAGAGAAATTACTATGAAAATCAATGTATCCTGCAATTGTAGAACAATTGACAATAGGGCCCTTAGTTACCTTGGCCATGCTGAGTAACAAGTATATGAGTTTGTTTGCAGCAAACTGGTGATACTCAAATCTTCTCTATCTTGTTTAGTAGCTATGTCTGGAATTTCAGTCTTGATTCTCATTTTGTCAGTTGCAGACTGATATACACCATTATCAAGTTCAAGCCCTGCAGAATCACTAATTTCAGCATTTTCGGATTTGATACTAGAAAAAAAGGTTGAGATGGCAGATTTAATGTGGAATAGGAATTAGTTTTTCTTATTTCTATAGAGATTGGTGGTGCTTCAAGAACCTGGCGTCTTACCAGACAGATTCGTTGGGATCTTCATTCTCTACTTTTACAGTGTCTATGTCTATTTCTTCGTGCAGTTCATACTTGATTTTTACAGCCTGCTTGTCCAGATCCATATTGTGAAAATTAGCGAAAATAAGGACCAAAACTCAAAGCAGCATGTCTCTTGCACCACCAATACAGAACCGATTTGCAGTGCCACCAAATAAAGTACCACGCGCCACTATAGTAAATTTCGTATGGCGATTTGGATTTAGTTTTTAGTTGATTATCTTGCACACTTTTTTTAAATTATAAACAACACCTTTTGAGGTTATGACGTACCTGTGACAAGTGGATACTTATTCTAAACTCTTGACGAGGGAAAGAGGCGTTTCCACATCAACTAAAGACAGGACTCGGTGTTCTGTCGACACGCCTACTTATTCTCAACAAAATAGTATTTTGTTCGAGGCTTTGATAATGGTTTTGAGATTTTTCAAAAATGAATGTAAGTACATAAGAATACTCACAAGAACGTTAGATTAGTGCACGTTTCTGTGAATTTATTTTTATAATAATGTATTACAGGGTGGCCAAGATAAGGACCAGACTAGGTTAGAGTCAGTAATAACACAATCTTACATCAAGCATTTGTTAGCAACGTCTAGTTAAACAAAATTAAAGAAAGAAAAAACATGTTTGTTTATAACTTAGAAAAAAACAAAAGTAACGTGATACATCGTAGAAAAAGATGCTATTAGACACAGGGTCGAACTTTTTTAAATGTTATGCACTTCGGGCACATTTTAAAACACCATCATGTAGTGCCATTAGTATTTTGACATTTTTTAAAATAAAGTCAGACTAAAATAAAAACTATTTGGCCAAATTTTAGTTTTCCCAAATACCTCAGTATATGACTAATATCTCAGTATAAGCATTGTGCGCAATTTATTTAAAAACATAGGATGTCAACCCTAACATACAAGTAGATGAGTATGCAAGGCTCACCTAGTTTGCTCCACATGTATCCTGCTTCCCTCAGAAGAGTTGAAAGAAGACCTAATTTCCACTTTGCAAACAGTTGACACCCACGCCACAACACTAAAACACCACTGAGAGACAATCGAGAACCCTATAGTGAACATCACTACTAAAAAAATAGCTTAACCGAATAGAGCTCTGCATGGAGCTGTGTACGCGTGGACATTCCGCGCCGTCGACGGTTGCCGAGAGACTGATGCATGTGAGTGCTGTACCTCGCTGCGACGATATAGTACGGCCGGGCAGTAAAGCCACGCCCCTTTCCAGCTCCCACTCCGCGCGTCTGCGTTTTATTATCTGACATTCCGCTGCGCCGACGGTTGCCGAGAGACTGAGGCATGTGAGTGCTGTACCTCGCTGCGACGATATAGTACGGCCGGGCAGTAAAGCCACGCCCCTTTCCAGCTCCCACTCCGCGCGTCTGCGTTTTATTATCTGACATTCCGCTGCGCCGACGGTTGCCGAGAGACTGAGGCATGTGAGTGCTGTACCTCGCTGCGACGATATAGTACGGCCGGGGTAGTAAAGCCACGCCCCTTTCCAGCTCCCACTACGCGCGTCTGCGTTTTCTTATCTGACATTCCGCTGCGCCGACGGTTGCCGAGAGACTGAGGCATGTGAGTTTGTGAGTGCTGTACCTCGCTGCGACGATATAGTACGGCCGGGGTAGTAAAGCCACGCCCCTTTCCAGCTCCCACTCCGCGCGTCTGCTACCAGTCAACGTAAACATCGAGTCGCTTCGTGATACTGTCAGATAAGAAAACGCAGACGCGCGGAGTGGGAGCTGAAAAGGGGCGTGGCTGTACTACCCAGCCGTACTACATCGTCGCACCGAGGTACAGCACTCACACGCTTCAGTCTCTCGGCAACCGTCGCCAGAGCAGGATGTCGACGCGTTCACAGGTCCGTACCGAGCTCTATTCGGTTTAGGTACTTTTTTATGTAGTACTATAGGGTTCTCGATTGTGTGTCAGTGGTGGTTTAGTGCTGTGACGTGGGAAGTGGAAATTAGGTCTACTTCCAACTCTTCTGAGGGAAACAGGATAGGAGGTTGGTTTTAAATGAAAATATATTTGTCTGAAGCACTTTATATTTCTATAGACGTTGAAGAATATATAACAAAAAATAAATGATAAAGTTAAAATGTAATACAATTATAAGAAGTATTTCCGATAAAACAAAACATTTGGATTATTCCTTTAATTGCTTAATCTCTTGCCTGATATTATCTAGGCTTTTTCCTTGTAGATTACAGCATAAGAGCTGAGATATTCAGTCCGGGTGTTTGATAGTGATAATGGTGGTCGAGCATCACATCAGAGTGTTGGAGTCAACAGAAAGAGCCGATCTTGTGCCCCCACATTTAATACTAATAATGTGATCAATACTAGATAGAAGCCTCTAGTTTTTTTCTGGTGGATCTTCAAATACTGTCCTTTGAATGTGTTGTCAAATGTCTACCAAACTCCCTCTGTATGGTTGTTTTATACCAACACAGCTTGCATACATATATGTTGGAAGTAATTGTTTTTATAAAGTCAGGATGCTTTTTTAATATATGGTCATCTAGCGGCAATTTTCCTCTGAAGGCTAAATTACAATGTTCACAACGTGCATAACATTCATTCTTACTTATGTGCCTCTCTAAATTTCTTTCCATCGTGCTTGCGAACGAACAGTTTGGACATTTGTGCAGCTCATCACTAACTGAGTAACTTACAATATGATGCTTTGTAAGCAAATGCTCGTCTAACCCTTTCTTCCTCTTAAACTCGGCTGAACAGTATTTACAGAGGAAAAAATCAGGAGTTATACCATGTTGTTTCCATTTGTGCTCGAATAAATTATAAGGATTTCCGATAATTTTAAATTCGCAAAACGAACACTTATACAGTTTATAGGACAGTGTTGGGATACAATTAGGATGCGCGCTTACTATATGGGCGTCTAACGCATGTTCGTTTTTTAAAGCTGCTTTACAATGCACACACTGTATATAGTTCAAGGACGAATCACTTGGTTTGTTTAGAGAAACTGTAGTAGTGAAAATTGCTTCATCAAAATGTGTCAACATATGATCTTGTACGGATTTTTTTGCTTGAGATTTATACGAGCATTTCGAACATTCATAGAAGTTATTCACGAAGGAAACAAAATACTCATGTTTGTTGAATATATGCCACACTAGCGACATATGAGTCTTCAAAATTTCCCCACAATGTGAACAAGTACTGATATCGTGAACTCTTTCCACATGCTTCTTTAAAATATATATATAGTTTGCTTTGTAGTCACAATACTGACATTTTGCGAAGAAGGCACCACTATGTTGTTTTTTGTGATGCTCCTTCAAAGTATAGTGCCTGATTGTTTTAAAATCGCAGTATTCACATGCAAATTTTTCAAATGTAACCGATCCGTAGCCAAGTGGATTTTTGATCAGCTCGCTCTCAGAACATTCCCTATCTGTTTCAAGGCCAGAGCTACTGGAAGCATGCTGTTTTTGTAGCCATTTTTCACGCTTAATCTCAATTGTGAAGCTCCTTTTTTTCTTTTTCCTATGCAAAGTAGTTTGAACTTCATACATATTACAACTGTTATCATTAAGGTGATGCAGTAGATCATTTTTAGAATTGGTATCATATGCACAGTTATAACAAGTGTACAGATTTCCTCCAGCTTCTGTGTCCATAACAAGTTGTTTTCTGCAGTTTTTCTCTTTCGCGTCACTGAAACAAAATAACAATTACCTCCAGCTGATACAATTTGGACAGTCATGTTGATTTAAAAGATGAACATGTGTATGTTCAAATCTTATACAGGGTGATTAGTGTCATTATTTTTCCAAATAAAAATTGTACGCCACTGTTAGTGTAGTACGCGCAATTTTTCAAATTTTACCTTCAATTTGCTACAAATAATGTTTTTCCCTAAAGCGTTTTCTTTACAGAACCCATACACAAAAATAATATTGGCATACTCATCATTGCAAAATTCCATTATTTTCTCTTCAATCTCTTCTGGGGATTTCTCATGCACTATTACAGATGTATCATCTGCAAACAACTACTACTTTTTCTGTTTTTACCTGTTTGGGGAGATCATTCACAAAAAAAAATTAATAAGAAACAACAGTTGTGGTACTGATACCTGAGGGATCTAAAGATAGAGGAAATGTTTTAGATTCTGTATTTTGTATTTCTACCTTTATATATTGATTTTCAAGGAAGGATTTAAACCATTCCCATATCTGTATACACCTACCTTTAAAAAGAAATAATATTTTCCCCAAAGTAAACCTAAGAGCATTGAGTTATACAAAGATGGTCAACATCAAGTTGACATTGCCAAAAATTTGAAGCTTAAGCATAAAGCAGTTTGGGCAATATTGAACATTGAACAAATATAAACAAAAATGTATCTTGGAAGCCTCTAAGAGAAGTGGTCGGCCTTGAAAACTAAATGCTAGATCAGTTAGATTAATAAAAGTAATTTTGTCCAAAGATCCGTTTAAAAGCCCAAGACAAATAAAAGCCGAAATCGAGGCAAAAGGAATTATCAGTGTTTCTAAGAAAACTATAAGTAGAAGGTTAAATGACTTGAAGTTATTTGCGCGTCGCCCAAGTAAGAAAAATTGTAAGGGAGTCTAATGAATTTATTTATGTATAAGTGAGTATTATGCTATAAGGAATTATGTATATAGGTTGGTGTATTAATAAAACAAGTTAAAAAAGAAATAAAGCACAATATTAATTTGTCTATATACTTTTGTCCATTACTGTATATGCTAAAAGTCAAGTTCTGCCCTTTCCTGTTGAAACAGAATATACACATTCATCATAATACTAGTAGGGATTAAATAACATTACTGGTGAAGATAATAATTTTGATAAAAAAACTTTTTACCAGAATTTCCTTCATAAAAACTCACCTTTCAAGCTCTAGTTCTGCAGACAGGGCTGATGGATCGATCTTCATGTCAATATCTAGTTGTTGATTCTGTTCCAAACTTTCCATATCTTCACATTTGACCTTTGCATTGTCTTCCAATTTAATTTCCTTACTTGCTTCTTTGTTGGCAGCTGTCTTATCCCAGTCTTCTTTGGTCTGCTCTACTTTTATTCTAAAATAAAATGATTATCATCTTTACTAATCTTGAACAGCAGGTCAGTTACCTTGGACATGCTGAGTAACATGTATGTGAACTTTGCAGCAAACTCCAATCTTCTCTAGCTATTTCTGGTGGTTCAGTCTTGATTTCTATTTTGTCAGTTGTAGATTGACATACACCATTAGCAATCTCAAGCCCCACAAATTCAAAAGTGGAGTCAGTTGCTTCTTGAGTACTGGTTTTAGCCCTCTCGGACTTGATACTAGAATGAGTAATAAAAACTTTCAAGATACTAGGTTTCTGTGATGTGCAATTTTTATAGAAAATGCACAATTTACTTTGATTGTACTAAAAAAGCCTGGCTCCTTACCAGACAGATTCGTTGAGATCTTCATTCTCAACTTTTACACTAGCACTGTCTATTTCTATTTCCTCATAGGGCTCATGCTTGACCTTCAAAGTTTGCTCACCGAGCTCCATATTGTGAACGTGAAAATTACATTCAAAGCATCATATCTCTCTGTCTCCAACATAGAAAACCAATCTATGGTGTTATAATTTAGTTATATCCATTGTCTTCAGGATATTTTTTGAATTATAGCAGTAGAACGTAAACATAAGCAAATAACAGACAGTGACAGCCTACAGTTTTTTGAGGTTACAGCGTTGCCAGATGGTTCAAACAGAATTCTCCGACGATAAGCACAAGAACGCCCAGATTAGCAACTTTCTTAAAAAAAATACACCAAATCGTATTTAGTAGTCGAGGTGGAGGAAGGGGGTGAAGAGGTTGAACTAGTTGATTGACCACGGGGAGGGGGGCATAAAATTAGAAAGAATTATTCTGGCAACGAATTGTCAGACCAACAATACTCGCCTTCGCTATCACTTCGGTATTTTTGTATTGAGAAATCGCAGATCCGTGAATCTACAAGATGAACAAACCCGTACAAAATCGCTGAAAAGATGAGTTATCGTCGTTCTTTCTTATGAAACGCGCGTGTGAGACAAAAATAGCAAATCAAATTTACAACTTATTACTCTAATGTTTTTCTGTGTTCTATGACTAGTAGGGATGCATGTCTACCAATCTACAATTGACACTAAGGCCCGTATCGTCAGTCGTCCCTACAATTGTAGGGCGCGTTTATGGCCTCCTTGATTGTCATACTCCTTTCTCTCCTTCAAAAATTTCTAGATTACACTTGTTCCGTGTCAGCGTCAGCGCTCTCCTATTGTGAAGATATGTTTTCTTTTTAAATTGTAGGAAATTTCAGGCTGATAAAACATGATATAACTCAAAAGCAAGCACAATTTGATGCAAATAGATGTTTGTGACATAACCTCAAAATAGAGTTCTGACACGGAGAAGTAGAAAACTATGACAATCGAGGAGGCCATAAACGCGCCCTACAATTGTAGGGACGACTGACGATACGGGCCTAACATATAGAAATGGGTCAGCGTAGATGTTTTTTGGAGATGGGTGCGACATGAGAAAAGTAAAAGCTGCAGATAAAATTGTTATTTAGCAGTGGACAGTTTCTCGTGGTTAAGAATGGAATAAAATACCAAAAATCTTATTTTTCCCCAAAAAATCTCCCCTATTATCCTCCAAAAATGTTCCAAATTTGGGAGAAAAATATGCAATGTGGCAACCCTGTGCGGCTATGACGTATGGTAAGATTGACAAGTGACGTACATATGACAGAGGCAATGAATGGCTACTCCGGTACTCGGCTGGGAAAAGGGGCGTGTCGATCTTAACAGAAGAAGCCACGCCTTAAAGGTGTTGCTGAGACACACCTCTTTTTTATGGATACGTTCCTTCCAAAGCAGGTGGCCTGCGTTCCGATTTTGCTGAAACGGAGGTTCAGCGAATGTTGATTGAATGGTTGCATAAACGTCAAGTGCTATGTAGGAGTTTTCATTTTTTGAAATAATCTAGGATAATTTTTGTAGAAAAGTAATCGCCATGTATTTGAGAGACTTGATTGGTACAAAACCTTTCAAGTATCCTGCTTTTATTATAAGTTTTGGAAATGCCGTGGTGTTACGGCCATTTTGGAAGACCTTTCCAAATCAATTTTCAAAAGAATCCTCCAAACGCGCTTTGAAATCTTTCCATAGATATTTTTGTGCCATTTGCTTGGTGAGAATTCTTTAAGAAAACGTCTTGACGCTATTTTCATCTGTTGGAGAGGGAGCGATGCAGGACATATATACTTAGTACTATAGTTATACGTGTATTCAGGGCACAATATTGTTTATGACCCGCTGTATGAAACCACGGTCCAAGGTGCAGAGCTCTGCGTGTTCTCACACTGCAAACTTTAATCCATAGATAGTGGGCGCTAAAGTTGGTTTACCGTCCCAGGGCTATGGACTGAAAAGTGATATTCAATGTATAAAGTACAACTGGATCGTAGATAAAAGAAAGGAAAGACATCCTATAATACAAATTCGAATTATTGTTACGAATATCCATAAAGACCTCGATTCCTTATAGTGACTTGGGTAAAAATAGTAAAAATAAGATTAAGACTACCCTGGCAGGGTAGCGTGACAAATGGATATTAAAGATTTCGGACATGAAATATACGGTATAAAAACGGTAATTCTATCTCATTGTTACAGAAATTTAATCATGCCGAACGCGGCACGGTTTTGATTGAAACAGCCTGCGGCTCTGTAATTTATTTTTTGCAATACAATGTTAGGAAAGGGAAAAGAACATGTTCGAAGTGTGGATAATACTGATAATAGTACGTCCAAAACCATATCATTTGCAGAGCTATATGCGGTGAGACTGAATAGCGATTTTTTTGTGCCGTTTTGCCCATCTACCAGACGTCAATTTTACGTCAACCGTTCTATTCTATCTGTCATTGTCAGCTAGAGCGGTCCGTAGGACCTTTGTTTTAGGTTAAAGTAATAAGGGTCATTTCCTGCTTAAGTCTTCGTTGAGGCTTCTAAATGTTTTAGGATATTGGGCCCCAATCACCAGTTTATGGAGTAGTACTTTCTTAGTTTGTTTTGCTTGTTGTTGGTGCTAATCCGTCCATTTTTATGTGATTTTAACCTCTTCAGCGGTAAGTTCTTTTTCATACCAAGCTAGGTATATCGAAGCCAAAATGTGTGCCAAAAATAATAATAACGAAAATTGGGTAACCGAACCTACCTACATACATCATCGCTGGTTGCCTATGAGTAGACCCTAGAAAACCATTTTTACGAGGGACCAACGACGTTTTATAAGGAAATTTCTGGTATAAAACGAGCAAATCATTGATAAACTATTATAACATTTCAAAACAATACTCAGTCGCTAAGAAAGAAAGATATAATATTGGGTAGTTTCGACCTCAATAGATCAATAAGTTAAGAAATTTGGCAAAACATAATCATTGAAAAGGGTTTGGCCTAGGAATCGGTACTCTATCATTAATAAAGAAATATACAAATTTCAAGATACCTACGAGGTCAGATAGAACTTTTATACAATTTTGAGGATCGTTTAAATATTTGACATTTGATAATACATATTTTGATTACACTTCGTGCTACTAGTACACCACATCGACTTGGAAGTCAAACTTCCCACTCTCTCAGGTTATTATTCAGATTCTATACATTTTTATGACGCATTTAATAAAGCAATATCTACGTTTCAACGATACTCTTTCAATCTCACAGAAGTTTATTTATCAGGAGAACAGAATTCGGTGTCGTCTTTAGAAGTTTCCTCAGTTATTAAGGAAGCGCCTGTAGAGATGATACGCTTAGCAATGTCACACTTATGTGAGATATGCATGTTCGGATTCTTGTTAAAATTATATATGCTTTCAGGCCATTTACAAAGTTCGTCGGATGAAATGTTGCGTTTCTCTGAGTCTCTGAGTATACTGCTGTTCACTGTAATCCATATCACCGACCGAAGTCAGTGGCGTCACATTACAGTTACGCTACACTTCAAGGTCATTTAAAGGTCAATTTAATATTTTCAAATGGAACCGCCCCTTTTTCACGTCCGAATTGAAACGAGGCGCAAATTTTACGGCCGAACATCACCTTGACCTTCATCGTTGCCGTCAAGGTCAAATAAAGACATCTTTAATAGTTTGCTTTGGCAAAACTACTCGACAGCACAGTCGTGAGGTTTGTGGAGGTAACTCAAAGGCGACCTTGATACTGACTATGACCTTTAAGGTAACAAGTCAAAATTTCCGAAGAAAACAGCTCATTTTTATACTGATACGACCTTGACCTTTAAATGACTTTCAATGTCGTGGTCAAGGTGACTTTCATTTTGTTATCTCGAAACCGTACAACTTTCGCTTGTAACCTATTTTCCAGAATGCGCAGTTTCCGGAACATTGATTAATTGATTGATTGATTGATGGATTGTTTAATTGATTGACTGATTGATTGATTAATTGATGGATTGATTGAATTATTGGTTGCTTGATTGATGAGTTGATTGATGGGTTGATCGATCGAACGATTGATTAATTGATTCTTTGACTGCCTGATTAGATAATTGAATGATTGCTTGATGAATTGATTAAGTGATTGAATTATGAATCGATGTATTGACGAATTGACTAATCAACTAATCGAGGAATTGATGGATTGATTGATTGTTTGATAGATCAATTGCTTAATTGATTAGCAGGATAACCACGCAACCAACACCGACAGAGACGTAAACCGTAATAGCAACGTAGTGAAAGACCAGCGTTGCTAAGTGGATCAAACAGAATTCCCACAGGACATGTACAAAAATCCCCCATATTTGCCACTTTTTTTAAAAACCCTCTAATCCTATTTCACTAGCCGGGGAGGGGTGTGTATATGTGATATACTTTTCCAAGGAATTGAGACTATTTTTCAAACTTGTCAGAACTTGTTTCTTGAGCCACAAGTGCGCTTTTCTTATCTCTTCGCCATTTGGGGATTGGGAAATGGCAGACCTGTGGATTTATAACCAAACCATGCAAAATCGCAGAGAAGACGGGTAATCGTCTAGTTCTTTCTCCCGAAACCCGCGTGTAAGACAAACATAGCTAAATCGACCAGCTAGTTCACAACTTATATAAATACCTCAAAAGTACCCAACGCTTTCAATTTTCCCTCAAGAAATCCTCCAGACCATTTCGTCCCTTGAAAATACCAGAAATTTGGGGCAACACCTCCCAATATGGCAACCCTGTGAAAGACGGGGCAATAGTTACGTGGCAGGATGCGCGGGTATGATGCGCAGTCGGTTCATATGTTAAAAATGGCCTTCGTGGCAATCTACTCGTAGTGTGAAAGGCGTGACGAAAAACAATATCTCATTTAAGTAATCTTCCGCGATTACTATATTGCTTCGCCAGCGGGGTGTGAAGTAAAACGGCGTGAATCTTAACCCTTCGGATTTTAAGGGATCGCTGATTGCCTCAAAGGAGAGTGACTTGATACTATCTTTGCAAGCGTAGTGTTTCCCTAAACAAAGCTGTCATCCTATAGGGGTGGCTAAAAAGGGTTAAATGAGCTGTTAGCGACGCTATTGTTTACCTCCAGTTTATTGAGAAGGGTGGAACTCGGCTGAAATGAACTGATTTCGCAAATAAAAATGTCACTATTATCTCGACGGAATATCAGTTTCGTAAATTGCAAGGTGCGCGATA